AATTATATGGTACTCTCTCTTTCGTAAACACACACACACACACACACACACACACACACACACACACACTCTTAGGGACTTCTGGTTTTCTATAGCACCATACAGCAGGGGAGGTGTAGAGCAATGACTGCATACACTGAACATATTCTGGGGGAGATATGATCATTGCCAGCCTTAGTCACAGTCACCAGATGTCCCACTCAGGCTGTACCTGTCATTCATTCCAGAAGACATGTACTTTGAAGTCAGCTTGACCCTTCCATTCTCTTTCTGGTAGGCATGATAAATGGTATAGCACCATACAGCAGGGGAGGTGTAGAGCAATGACTGCATACACTGAACATATTCTGGGGGAGATATGATCATTGCCAGCCTTAGTCACAGTCACCAGATGTCCCACTCAGGCTGTACCTGTCATTCATTCCAGAAGACATGTACTTTGAAGTCAGCTTGACCCTTCCATTCTCTTTCTGGTAGGCATGATAAATGGTTAGGATGAAAACAGATTAACTTGTTAAGCTCAATAAGCTACACTCTTCCTCTTTTAGAAATCCTTGCTGTTGCTATTTAGAAATTATGTAAATCATTAGAGATGTGGTAAAGTTACTAATATTTAGCCCTTAACTCATCTCAAGGTAGGCATTGGGCCATAGTGTAAAATACAGAATACTTCATGTACTTAGAGAACCAGGAAAAAATTGATGCTAATTCTCTAATTTCATATCTATTATTTCATGTTAACATAAGATTGGTCAGATTTTGAACAGTGTTCTGCAATAGTCACTGGTAATTTAACATAATATACTTTATGAAAGGACATATCAGAAAATGATTAAAGGAAAAATAATGGATGAATTCCTTCTCCAGTAAATAATAAATGTGCAGTCTCTGCAAGTAAAAAATCTTCCAATATCTATTTGCATAATAAAGACAAGGAAATTGAAGCAAAAATCAAAGATGTCTTGTAGAAATAAGCACTACACAGTAGGTTGCTAACCTTGAAAAATGCAGTGTTGATGGGTGCAGGTATTTCTATGTCAGATTAACTTTGAAAGTCTGGTTGGCTTCAGCCCTTATCAGTAGAGTCCCCAAAATGTGCATTCTGATACCTTGTGCAGGAGCTTCATTTTTCCAAAAGGAAACAAATGACTCCTGAAATTTACCATTAATATGTGTTCCTTCTGGAAGATTTTGTCATGAGTATTCAAGGAATGAACATTACCACACAGCCAGTGGCTGTGCCCGAGAGTCATATTTTTTTAGAATGTATAGGACTGGTGGTCCTATTTCATTCTTAAAAATAAGATGTTGATTCAAGATTTGAGTTTCACTGACAAGCTTAATTCTTTCAGTATAAATAATATATTAAAATAAAATGAGTCACAGGATACATACACTTTTAAGTAGGTGAGTTTTGAATGAATATTTAGCTAAGTAACTGGTAACATTTTCGAGGGGAAGAAAGCATAAGGTTGACTGCAATAGGCCTTTCAGCTTTTTTGATAAATGTGATAAATTTCAATATGACAGCACAGTGGATACTCCAACTTACATATTTTTAAAATATGTATTAAGAGCATCTTTCTAAAATTTTTCCAAAGATAAAATATTTGTAGAAAGATGAGAACTTAGGTGATTCAAATGTTAAAATTTACAGCTTAAAACTATCTCACAAAAATACTTTCATATAAAAAACAACAGAATTACAATGAAAAACTAAAATCACTTATTCCTTTTGTAAATTTCAAATGAATTTCTACTGAAGTGTTTTCAACAGTTGAGACCTTGAATTCCTATTATGAAATTTTTATTTTAAAAACTAAAACCTGAAATTCCATTTGACCCAGCTCCCCAGTTAAGCATCTTTCTGAAAATGTTGAAGACATCATATTAGAGTGGTACATGCATACCCATGTTTATACCAGCACAATTAATAATAGCTAAACTTTTGAAGTGGCCCATATGTCTCTCAATAGATGAATGGATAAAGAAAATGTGTTATTTATACAGAATGGAGCACTACTCTGCCATAAAGAAAGATTAAACTCGAGTCATTTGCAGGAAAAGGATGTACCTCAAAACCATGATAGTGACACACAAGCTTAGACATCACATGGTTTCTTTTGCATGAGAAACACAGAAGAAAAATAACGAACAAAATTAAAGACAGATGACAGGAAGAAGGAAGATAGTTCTTTTTCATAGGAAAGGGGATCAAGAGATGGAGTGGGGGAAGGAAGGGATAATACACAGAAAAAAGAGTTGGGATGTGTTATGCACACATAGCTACTTTACACAAAGAATGTAAACATTATTACTGCAAACATATACAAAAAAAGGAAGGGGATCAAGAGATGAGTGGAGCGGGCAAGGACTGGAAAGGGGATGCCAATGGGAATTCAGCTATGTGCATATAGCAACTTCCCACAAGGAATGCAAACATTACTACACACAAGTACTAAGTAAAAGAAAAGGAGTATTCTTTCTTTTCCTCAGAAGGTAATACCTCCATTATTAACAAATATTCACAAAGAGTAATTTATGATGTATTTTCAACAGAAGCAGTTTAACATGAAACAAGAACTGTACATTTCATTACTTGATTTGGAAATAGTTAAATTCCTTTTCCGTAGTGTGTAAATCTTTGACAAAGTTAATATTCACCAAGGTTTTCCCAAACTACAGTAAAAGAAATCTTTTATGTACTTTCAAATACTGTGCCTTTTTATTTAAAACAGAGTAAACATAACAACTCAACACCACCAATAATTGAAAAAAGCCTGGGTACGTAAACACTAATTTCTCTGAATGCCCCAGGAAAGTAAGGGAAAACAAAACAGACGAATCTTCAGGAGAGGTTTCAGTTCACCTTAGCATGGTAAAAATATTGCTTTATTCCAAATGAACATACAACACAATTTCCTGTTCTTTGGGGGGTTTCTTGTGAACTGAGTAGTTTGGGCTTTGTGATTTTAACAATTTATTCCTTCTGTATTAACCACAGAAGCCAATGCCTTGGTTGACACAGAGTACACTTGCTCTAAAATAAATAGCAATGAGGCTGATGAGAAAGAAATTAGTAACTGTCGGTTTGATAGTTGGCCCACGTAAATAATGTAGGTAGGTAGGATTCGAAATAAACACACATCCTCCATCAATACACTTTGTGATACTGATACCATCAATTAACTGATAGCTGTTCCTTTCAAAAGGATTCACATCATAAAATGGTCTAGACATTGTCAAGGGTTTCCAGGATCCACCATACAAGTGACCTTGATTTAAGAACTCACTAACTGAACATTATATTAAATGGAAAGATTTAAAGTGAACAGATCCAAGAGGGAAAACTTTTAATCTGGATATTAGGTTCCCTGATGCTTTAGAACAAATTTTAGCAAGCTTAGTGAACGCACACATGCACACACATACACACAAAGAACACATGCGTAAGAGCATATGTACTCAAGGGAGCAAGTTCACACCCTTGCACACTCACTCACACATGCACACACACATACACACACTGAGAAATGCTCCTTCAGAGCTTCTAAATAATCTCCAAGAAAAGCATTTCTATTAGCATCATTTTAGTGACACACGGTGAGTTTCTTTTTTCTTTAATAATTTTGGACCTCCCTCTGAGGTTCTGTGCTTTCAAATTTCAGAGGAAGAGGGAGCAGTGAGCACAGCAAGGATTGCTCCAATTACTCCCTGCCATCACCTGTTTCCTTCCCTAGGCAGTTTTTGTGCCATTCTTCAAAAATAAAATACAAAAAACTACGTTTCTTGACATGACATAACCTGTGATACGGGAGTTGGTTGAGTAGAAATTTAGGTGTTGGGCTTGTCACACCGAATGGCAAGGGTCACCTGCTCCCTGGCACATCCACCACAGGATAGAGCTCTTCTCTTTAAAACCAGGCAGCTGTCAGTGCTTCCTTGATGTAGACACGGGCACTGTGTGACCAAGGGTCTCAATTGCCCACAGCTTCTGAGAGCATAAAAGGACAATGTGAGGACTAACTAAAATTGGATTCAGAATTCTACCCAAAAGCTTCGGTGGTAAGCTTTATCCCTCCTGAAACATTTCTTTCCCTTTAAAAAAATATTTTGTTAAAAAACACTATGATATGAGGGCGATAGACTATTTGGTTTCTTCTAAGTAGATGCTCTTAAATTAATGCATATAAATAATTTGTATTTAATTTCCTCTCTTTCCTGTTGAGCAAAGCATCGAATGCACAGATTCCTACATCTCCAGTCACTTGGTCAATGCCGAGTCTCTTTGTATTTCATTTCTTAAGACAAATTGTGCCTCTCGTTCTGATTTGGCTGTGGGACTCAGGGGGAGAAAGGCTGTGTTTTCACTTGCACTGTCCTCAGTTTCTACGCTGGCCAGTTCATAGTCTTCTGACCGTCTGGCATCAGTAAGAATCCGGATCTGCTCCTGGACAGTTTCTAGCAATATTTTCACTTCCTGTTGTTCTGCTATAAAACAGTCGCTGACGGGAATACTCACATTGACAACGTCAGCTGAGTAGGAGTTTTTGCACCATTTGATGCTATTGACCTCAGAAATTCCTGGCATTTGCATGCAGGTTTCTTCTAGGCCCATGGATGGGATGATGGGCACAGAACTGGCCCTTGTGGATGAGTATCCAGCCAGGTCCTTTTGATCCAAGTTATTAAAATAGGGGTTTGTTTCTCTTGAAGGCAGTTGCATATTTATTGATGCATTTTGTTGGGTTTTTAAACCATTGGATGAATACCTGGAAAAGAAACAAAGTGTCATGCATCATTCCCTCCACCTTGCCTCTGTAAGCATAAGTCAATCCACAAAGAACTTGCCACATGCACCATCTCACTGAATTCTCACAGCAACCCCATGAGACGGATAGTATGTTCCCAGTTAAACAGAGAAGTCAATTGAAGCTCAGATCGGCGAAGTGACTTGCCCAAGGTCACACAGAAAATAAGTGACAGACTGAGACTCAAACCCAGATCTTCTTACTTTAAGTCCAGGGTTCTTTCAACACACCACAGCTGTATAGGCAGGTGGGATATAGTCTTCCTGACCTCTATCCTAGAATACAAAGTAAATGGGGATTGAGCAGATAAGTGTGGCCTTCCCACAGTGAAAAACACTCCATCAACTGAACCACCCTCTCAGCCCTGCGTCCTGAAGCAGACATCTCTGGCCACCCTATTTGTAGGCAATCGGGAAGCCCATTCCCAAACAATGAGTTTTTCCACTTTATAATAATTTTAGAGGATGCAAAACCAATTGCCACTGGCACTTGTAGGAACTGCCTCATTGGACAGCGCTGAAACTGAGGGTAGGGACAGGAGGGACACAATTTCCCTGCCTTCCTGGGATGAATATGAAGTGGGTTCATTGGGGCTAAAAAAACCTAACAGTTTTCCTGGCAAGGTTGCTGAAGCCTAGTGAGGTAGAGGAGGTACACTAGTGCATGACAATAGCTTGCCAGGAACGTCAGGGTGCCATTCTGAACAATTTGAACATGCCTGAATCAGGCTGTGCTCCTTCTTGGCTGTTTGGAGCTGGTAATTTTTCTTCCTCTGAGCTTTCCATTGCGAGAAAGTGGGACAGGTATTTTCCAAATTTATAGGAGTGTGATTTGGGGACTAGACCAGTCATTTTTATTCCATTTCTGAATTATCTGTCTTGAAACTTGAAACACTAACCTCTAAATGTAATTTAATCACAATTTGATCTCCATATGATAAGTTTCATTTCCTTGGCTAACATTGTAAATAAAGATCATGTTTATATAATCATTGTAATGAAGTGTGCTGAATACTGAATAGAAGTCTTTATTATATGTTCATCATGGGGACAATTTCAAGGTCTGTTTTTTCACACTTGTCAATAAAGAAAAGGAACAGATTTAGGTTTTTGTAGACCCATCTGTTTTTAACATGCCTAGAATAGAGTTTGCAATAGATAAGCCATGGTCTAACAAACACCTTTAAGTTGAAAGCTACTTTTACAGCACAACACCTATCCACATTCAAACAGAATAACAGCTTATACTTACAGGGTGCTTTGAAAAAACACTTTTACCTCTGATTGCCTAATTAAAAAAAATGTTTGTATGATTCTTAGCATGTAATGGACAAGTAAGCTATCCTAAGGGATCCTCAAGTGACTTGCCCCAAATTATATTTTTAGTAAGAGGAAGAAAAAAGAATTAAACCCAAGATGTCTAATTATTACTATTAAAATGAAACACTCTAATGAATGGATATACTAAGGTAAACTAGAGCAGGTTTTTAGGGGTGTTTAATCTTTACCCAAGCAAACCATATGAAGCCAAGTATACAGAAATTCCCTGGGGATCTTACTCCTTCTTCTTAGAAAATGGCATCTAAAGTTTTTGATTCAACAAGAAAAAGGTGACAAATTTTAGGCTCTTGTGTTTTGTCCTTGGTGCTGTCCTTTTCACACCTATAAACATATATGCAAAAAATCTGTATTCCAGATTCACTAATGGAACATCTTGAAGAAAGAGAACTAAGATACCATTGCACATCAATATAATCAGGTATTAATATTAGCGGGTAGAATCTAATGAGTTGAAATATGACAGTGATAAGTGAAAACTGTTACATGTGGGTATAAATATTATTTGCATACCTGTTGGATATATGCCTTCCAGAATATTTTAAAATTGTTGCTTCAAAAAGGTGAATACTGTGGCATAGCTAAAAACCAAGTGAATAATGTGGCAAAGCCCTTTTCTAATACATCTGAGTGTTTCAATAAGGACTTAGTTAACTGCACCTCTTCTTTCTTATCTATACTTTCACTTCTCAAACCAGCAGCCAGACTCATGACTAGCAATAATTGAATTCTTAAATGGTACTATAATAGGAAGATGTGTTTTAAAAAATAAATTTGGTTTTGGTTTTTTTGTGTGTTTGTTTGTTTGTTTTTTGGTACCAGGGATTGAACTTGGGTTCTTGAGCTTGCAAGGCAGGCCACTGAACCACTGAGCGAAATCCCCAGCCCCGATTTGGTTTTGAATGAGATACGATTTTAAGCCCCAATGACATTTCATGCTCTGAATCTCAGACAAACATCTATCTCACTTTAATTTTTCCCATTATTTAAAACATAGGTTGGAGCTGAGGATGGTGGTAGTTCAATGATAAACCATGTGCTTAGTTAGCATGCATGAGTTTCTGGCTTCAATCACTGGCACCACAACCCAGCCCAGTCTATGTGCTCAGAGGTCAAACTGCAATTATTTCTTGGCAATCTTTTTCTAGAGGCACAGTGGTAGTCCTCTCTCCCTCCTTCGAGTTGCTGAGAGGGTCCCAGGATTGGAATACTAGGAGAAATCTCTGTAGGAACTGCATTTCTGCATGTGTTGCTAACTTGGAACCCATTGAAAGTTCTATATCCCTTGAGGTCAACAGCTCTTTCTCAGAAGTGACTCAGGAATTGTCACTCAGTTACTGTGCTGCCTCTTTGAACTCCCCTTCTTCTTTTTCAACAAAGAAATCACAGAAGCATTTTGTCTGTAACTGTGAGTCAAAGCATCCTGCTAAAGAAGAAAGATTTCAACAATTAAGTGCTTGATTTGCTTCCCAGTGATTGAGGGGTCAAATTAAGGACTCTGTGTTTCTCTAGGTGATATCAAGACACAGTTTCTGAATCATATGGCACTAGAATGAAGAGACTAAATTAAAATAATCTACTTTTCTCCCTGGAGCTATACTAACATATCACAGCCATGCTTTCCTGTTTTAGTGGTTCGTTTAGTTCCGAAGGCCAGTATTCAATCTGAGCTCTTTCACGTGGGATGACAGATGTCATCTTGGGCTAGCAATTCAAACTCTGCTATTTTAACTGTACTCAGTTGCATTTCTAAAGAACCACTGAACCAAAATGGGTAGTTAGGCATAGTTAGAAACTCAGTGGCAGGGGATTTAGCTCAGCGGTTCGGTGGCCTGCCTTGCAAGCACAAGGACCCGAGTTCAATCCCCAGTACAAAAAAAAAAAAAAAAAAAAAAAAAAAA